TGGCAGTAGGCGGTCTCTCAAGTACCCAGATCCAATACCATGAAGGGCTTTGTAGGTGACAACTAGCACCTTGAATAGTAATTAATGCTATACAATGTGCAATGCCACAAGTAATGTACCTCAAAGGATCGTGTGAATGCATTTCAATAGGTCGAGGTGTTCCTCCTGGACCTCCTCTAGTAAGAGCATCTATAAAGCCCCGGACCACAGTACTTCTTCTGGCTGTTCCAAACTCATCAAGAGTATATCTACAATGGGAGAAAAAATATGGACTTACAAGTTATGGACATTTTAGTTGCCCTCCTTAGTGATCAAAGTGCCTTGTTTTATGGAAATGCCAGACTATTATGCATACAATTCCACTGACTAGATAATTTACCAGCAGATGCCCAACACCAACGTATTTTTAATGGCCACAAAAATCATACTTTTGTTTGTCATGCTTCAGCATGCAAACAGCCACTTACGTTTTAAAACATAAGAAAATAAATTATTTATTCCGTTTCAACTATCATTTTCATTAGGATTCAATATAAGATGGGAAATTACAGAAATTACACAAACTAGAAAACATAGGCATTCAGGCCACTATCAAATTGCCTGAAAACAAGTAAAATGATTTGTTTACTTGCTTTAAATTAGTGGATAATAAGCCAACTGGAACAAGTTGTAACCATTATTTGTTCTAGCAATAGCCAGGACAACTCCAGAAGAAACATTTAAAAGAGCAAAGAATGCTACAAAAAGAGAAGGGAGTTTTATAAATTAATGCTTATATTAATAAACAACACAATTCCACTTTTAACTCCATATTAATTCCATAATTCCAACTGTAATTATGTTTTAATTCAGCAGAAAGCATCTGTTGGAAAAACCAAGCCAGTCTACTCTTTGATTCAACCTCAAAATATTAAGTCTTTAAAAATAGCACAAGTCCCTTTATCTTTTTGTATGACTGCATTGTATGCTGTATGTGAACCTGATGCCTTATTGTTCTTGTGAAATGGATGAGGAGAACCGAAGGGGAAGTGACTGTAGTTTTGGTGAGAAACTCATTATCACTTCTACCCTTTGGAATCCTAAAAAAACCTTCACTTTTAATACTGGAATACATTCTAGTATTAAAAATGAAGGTTTTCGTAAGAAGAAACGTCAATTTGGGACAAAAGTTAAGGAATATATCTGGGGGAAATTCATCTTCATTTCTAAGATGCCTAAGGAATATACCTATCACTTTCAGCGAGGCATGTATCAAGTGAGGTATATTGCATTAAGATAAGACAGCTGTTGACATGGTTGTGGTAGACATTCCAATATTGCCACCTTGTGGTAAATCTGAAATATATTTATATTCTTTTCACAAGATATCTCATAATATCTAAATAATAAAGAATGCAGACTTCTGGGCCATTTCTATGAATGCCGTAGTTGCGGCCTATATAGATCCATAAAAAGTATCCCTAAAAGTAATCATACAAAGAAGAACCAAATGAAATAATTAGGAAGTAATCGTATTAACTGCATTTTACTGTTAATTAAATTGAATTAAATTAAATTAATCATTCTTGACTTCTATTTTTGGGTGATCTACAGATAAAAAATCTTATTCATCCCAGCTTCCAAAGTGGGGGGGGGGGAATGCAAATCGATGTGCCTCTATGAACAGTGAAGACAGCGTGGTGGCAAATACCAGTAGCCCAGCATTAAATCCGGAAGACTGCCCCCTTGTGCTCCAAAAGGCTGTTTCTCACAAGGAAGCCCATAGGTATCCCATCCGTCTGATTGCCAGGAGCCATGGGATAGACAGCCACAGGCCAGCCTACATGGGTTTGTGCCCTCCACACTTTTATTTAAACACATTTGGAAGACATTTATTTTTTTAAGTTTAAAGTATTTTTGGAGCAGCAGAGTAATCGAACTACTCAGTGAATGTTCCTTTTTCTTGGATTAAAGATAAGAGCAAAGGAACAATTTAAAGCAGTGTTTCTCAACCTAGGCAACTTGAAGTCCTGTGGACTTCAACTCCCAGAATCCCCCAGCCAGCATAGCTGGTTGCATAGCATAGGACTTCAAGTTGTCAAGGTTGAGAAACACTGCTTTAAAGGATTTAAAAATAATTAAAAACGAAAAGCCTGCCAAGAGTTGTCAAGGTTGACAAACACTGCTTTAAAGGATTTAAAAATAATTAAAAACGAAAAGCCTGCCAAGAGTTTAAACTAAGAAAGTTTAAAACAAAGGGAATCTGGAATCTGGAATTATGGAACAAAGTATTTTTGAAACAATTAAAACACTGAATATGTATTTCTCTGGGAAAGAGTTCTATTTGAATAATTAGTTTTGCAAAACAAAAGATAAGGAAAGTTGCTAAAGCCCATCTGACTAAAGAATTATGGAATGTTGAATAGGTTTAATGATCTGGAACAGGGGTGTCAAACTCAATCATGTCGTGGGCTAGATTGTGACATATCACAATGGTTTTTTTGCCTTTGCAGAGCCGGGGTGGATGTGGCCTGCGCGGGTCATATGCCACCCACAAGCCGCTAGTTGACAGGCCTGATATGGAGAAAAGAGAGAGAAAAGGAAAAAGAAAAATGTCTTTACTTTTATTTCCCCTTTCACAATTGGAATGGCTCCTACTAGCAAAATAGTGAAACTTAACAGAGATGACAGAACAAGGTATTACACCTGAGACATTCCAAAGGATCTTTGAGGAACTGGGGAACAAAGTTACAGCTACATTAACGGCATCAGTAACTGCTTACATGAATGTATTATTTAAAAGAGATCTGAAAGATAAAAAATAATTCTGAAGAATCTGCAGGACAACTGAATGGAGAAATGAAACAAATTAAATTTAAGGTGGAAAATAAAGCAGAAATAATGGCAAGGGAATAGAAATATCAAGTCAAGAGATGAGAAACAGGCAATGGACTATTACTGGATTTAAAAAATGCAGAATCTTGTTTGAGACCAGGGGTTCTTAGAGATCAACTTGATGAAAATTGTAAAGAGAGCATTATCGAGGTCTAAAAAACATTAGGATGAAAGGAAGATGATGTAGATAGAGATCAGGTCCTATGACCTTTTAATATCAGAGTAAGGATTGATTAAGCCAGAATACCACCTAAGAGAAACAAATTCAAAATTAACTTGTTTGACGAGGGTAATAAGTGTTTTTATAAAACAATGGAAACTTTTTATGGGCTTTCTGCTGAAAATGGATTAATGACTGAGTTAATGACTTGGATTTGCCATTAGAAAAGGGTTGGATAAGGGAAGAAGCGAAATATGCAGTGTAACTTCAAAGGAGAGGAGTTGCTTGCTTGTAACTGCAATTATGTCTACTAATAAAAAATATTTTATAAAATACCCACAAACTCAAGTCTTTCCTCAACTTTAACCGTAAAGGTAGTCTTCGACCTATGACCTATGATCATTCATTTAACGATTGTTCAAAATTATGAGGGAACTTAACAATGGTTACAACCAGTCCACGGACTTCTGGCTGTCTGAGCATGTCCACAGCCATGTGATTGCAATTTGGCCACAGTTCACAGTTGCAATTGGTTGCAGCATCCTGCAGTCCCGTGAGCTCCTCTCGCAACCTTTCCGGATAGCTTCTCCCAAGAAAGTCAATGGGCAGGAAAAGTTGCAAGTGACAGGAATAAGTCCTCCCCAATTCTCACTGCACCTCCCTCATACCCCTTACATACCCTCTTGCCCACCCATGCATTCTTCCCAACCTGCACACACACACACACACACACACATCAAAACCCATGCCTCTTAGGCACCCCTTTGCACCCGCTCTGAGCAAACCTCTTGCACAGCCCAACACCCTCATGTACATTCCTGACCTGTGCCTCTTGTGCAACCTCAAACATCATTCCTGATCTTCGCCACTCACAACCCTGTCGTTCCCTTCCCTATCTGGCAGCAGCCATTACCCTACCTGTCAATCTGGAGCTTACAACTTGGGCTGGCTTCCCCACTGACTTGGGTGATTTGCCTGAATCACTTTCAAATCATTTTACCAGTGCTCTTTGGCAAATTCATGCATATTCTCAATGGTAGCCCTTGTTTCTTATTCTGGAGAAATTCTCTCTAAATTGTCACTCAGAATTGAGACCAACCTTATCACAAACTTATACATCCCACCATACTTAATTTTCTCCACATATTCATGCTGCGTGCTTAACTAAAGCAGAAACTTACTTATAGAGAACAGGCCTGTCTTGCAAAGCTTCCATTGCCTGAGCTAGAACTGGAGAAACATCACAGGTTTCTTGTGTTAAAGCCCTGCATTCACCTGTAAACAAGCCAACAGTCTGATGTCAGTATTAGTAAGGATTCAACAACATTTCTCTCCTCGTTTCATTGGTAACACTGAATCCTAGAGAAAAGATTACATTTTTATAGTGCTCTTTCGTAGAAGCCACAGTCTAAATTCAGCTGCCCTGGTGAAGTCTAGTTAAGATACAACTGTACTTTGCCACTCTGGCAGAAGCCCTCTGTATATTTAGGAGTCGTCGTCCACCCTTCCTGTGGGTACTTATTATGGGAAACACAGAGAGAGCCACAAAGAAGCTGTGGAAAACACCATGGCTATATAAAACAAGCAAAGTGGGGATGCAGACTTTTTCTACAAACAGTCAACAAAGCCAGACTTTTTAGAGAAACACAATGGCAGTGATTGTTCATGTCTAGAAGACAGAGGAGAAGAGTATGTTCAAATTGTCTTCAAGCTGAAAAGCAATACTAACAAACCATCAATATAAAAACCACCAATTTTAGGATGAAGAGAACTACAAGAATGACAAAGCAGAGACTTAAGAACTGCCTGAACAATAAAGCAGCTTTAAATTCTATTGTTGTTTAAAAACAAGGAAATCATCCCTGACTATCAAAATACAATCTTCTTTAAAGAAGCCCCAGTGGCACAGTGGTCAGAATGCAGTATTGCAAGCTAATGCTGCCTACAGTCTGGAGTTCAATCCTGACTGCCTCAAAGTAGACTAGCCTTCCATCCTTCTGAGATCGGTAAAATGAGTACCCAGATTTTTGGGGGCAATATGTTAACATTGTGGACTGCTCAGAGAGTGCTGTAAAGTGCTATGAAACGGTATATGTCTAAATGCTATTGCTATCTTCTTTAGATTACATAATATATACTTCTAAACTCTGAAATTTCGGTAGATTATTTGGTACAGAAAAGTAGCGTTTGAGATTCCTAAACAAATTTCAGATTATAATAGTGTTATAATGGTACCAGCAAGTGCGAACTGATTTGCCAGAAACTGCCTTAACAATCTTATACATTTTGAAGAAAATTGAGCATAGAGTAGTAGCTACATTTACTCATGCCATACATACTTCTAAAAGCCACCTATCTCCATCTACAAGAAAGAATACTTTAATGGGGGGAAAAATAAAATAACTACAATACCTTGGGCCCAACGATACAGCTGTTCATAAGAAGTCTCCTGGAGGAGTGCCATCTGTTCCATAATCTCCAGCCTGCAAATTTAACATGTTCTTTACAAAAGTCTTTACAAAAAGTGCAAAAACATCTAAACCTGGATGGCTTTACACTTGTCTTCATGTTTTTATTTTCCAATATAAATCTCAATATGTTAACAACTCAATTTATGAGGTTTTACTTAGTTGATGGTCCCAGTTGCTTTATACAGTGTGAACTCACCCTGATCTTTGTTGACTGGTGCGCAGAAGAATCTTGACATCATTGTGAATTTGCTTTATTCGTCTCAATACTTTAAAGAAATTCTTTAATAAAAAAAGTTCAAAATTAAAAGCTGTGATATTTTACTCAAACTTTGTTTACATAGCTATTGTACATTCAGATAATCATAATGCAGCACACTTGGTACTTGTATTGGGACTACAACTTTCAGAATTCATCCCCAGCTGGCTTGAAATTTGGGGACTGCTGTTTCATGCTTGCAGTGTAGCATTTAAAACTCAAAACGGTATTACAAATTCAGGTGGGTTTAAACTTGAAACATTTTGCACATCCATAACATAGAGAGACAGCTTCATACACAGAGGATCTGAAATGTGTTTACAGTTTTTACTTTTGATGGTGATAAAAATATATTGGTTTTGTTCCCTTTTTTAAAATAGTAATGGCAATATATGCATTGTCTAAGAGAAGAAAATAAAGAACAATTTCCATATATTATAATTGTCTATACAAATTCTGTATCTGTGTGTAATCTGCTCATAAGTGGCAAGTGCCATCAGGTCTTCACTGGTTTTGCTCCCTTTGGAAACAGGTTCTTCAAATGCGAGAGACTGTAAGGAAGACACCATCTCATTATACACTGAGTGACTGTGAACTCAGAACAATCATCCAAAAACATACAATTTAGAAACCAAAGCAAATTGACTTCGCTCATTCCAGACTTGTTCAGTGTTGTGTTCCAAATAGGCTACATTGAGCCAGAGTTTTGTAGTTTGAAATAAAGATTGCCGTGCAGCACATACTTCCTTTGTACCGTATTATTTGCTACTGTGGCTAAAGGTTAAGCATACCATAGCATTTTATTGCTGTTTGCTAAGGAGAACAGCTTCCCTTTGTTTCGACACCAGCCTCTGTTAGAAGCTGATTATTTTATTAGGTACGACGGACTAGCAACAGGAAAGAGAAGAGACAATATTACCCAGTTGAGCAGTGGGCAATTACAATCTAAACAATTATTTCTAAGCTAAACAGTATTATGTAGTATCAAGCTATTTTCACCACTTCCACAAGTGGACATTGCGAATTTCAGTCATGGCCCTTCTCTTCACCAATGATTATAATCCATTCTCATGTTATGAACACTTCCTAACTACTCCCATCTCTGAATTACGGAAGATTCTTTTATGTAGGCTCTTCCAGCCAGAATCTTTGCAAAGGGTAGAATTCTTTTCTAAAAACTCCATCCTTATATATCTGCTTTGGATGGTTTTCCTGCAAGTAGCACAATTATTCATATTATCCAAAGAGAAAATGGTGATCAGAAAAGGAAGTCTGATTCAATATGTTAAATAAGGTTACTGTTATGTATTTTAGGATGCTTACTTCAGTAACTGTCCCATCTCTGGTGCATCGAAGGACGTTCATCTCCTCTGGAGAAAGTTGGAATTCTGCTATGAAAGCATCTGCTATTTGTGCTTTTAATTCTAACCTTTGGCTGCAATAAAAAAAATGATTCCGTTCATGACCATTATAATTTGTTTCTCATAAGCTTAGGATCTGGCAGCCATTCAAACAGAAAAGTCTTAGAGGGTGCACTTTCATCTTCAGAACAGGAAGAAAAAGAAAAGGAGATGGACATAAGGGGAAGTAGGAGTTTACAGATAGTCTTTGACTTGCAACCAAAACTGAGTCCAGAATCTTGGTTGTTGAGCGAAGTGGTTATTAAATGAGATGACACAGGAAGTCTGTCTGTGTCAATCTCACTTAAACGCCCATGTGGCTGCTTCACTCAATGATTGCAAATCCAACAGTAGTGTTTGCAGTTCTTAAGTGATTTCAGGTTGTTAAGCAGAATCCCAAATAAGGAGCATGCAATGCCTGGGGTGGGGGAATGGGGAACCCTGCTTCTGATTTTTAGCTTCTGAGGGATACCCACTTGAATGTGGGCTGTGCCAGGCCTCCCACCCCACCCCAAGGCACACTACCCACTTTATATCTATGCAGCCTCTATCTATCATGCTGCCTTTATCGTGCATGGAAAGGAACTCCTTCAGTTGGGAGTACAGAAATGGAACTCATCAGAATCTGAGCTTGATTTCTGCAGTCCACAGAAGGATGTCATTTTTCCTTTGCACACAGAAGGGAATTTTTCCCAAGGGATGCAGAAATAGAAATTCAATTCATCAGGATCCAAGCTCTATTTTTGCAACCCCATGAGAGTATGTCATCTCTCCTCTGTGCTTGGAAAAGAACTCTTCCAAGGGTTCAGAAATCATCAGGATCTGATGTCAACTGATGCCTTCTATTTTCAAAAGTGTTTAACGTAAAATAAGTTCAACATTTTTTCAATTTTATCATTTGTTAAAAGAGACATAGACATCCAGAATACAGACGTTTTATCTACTTAAAAATGATATATAGCAAAAATTGTATATATGTGTCTTAAAACAGCAGATGTGAGGAAGAACTCCATGAACCAATAGGAGAAAGCAGCTGATTAATAAACTGAAAACTGAATGTCTGGAAATATTTGCCAGTTTATGATTGTTCAACCAGCCTTAAGTTTATATCTAATTACTCGGCACAAAAAATCCACAGATTTAAAAAAATCAGTATAGAGCAATATATATATATATATATATATATATAGAAGAATAGAATGGAATTCCCAGAAAGGCCTAGTTGAAATTTGGATTGTGGCCTTTTGGTTGAATATTAGATTTTTTTTATTCTTCCTACATACAATAACACTGCTGTAAATCATATTTTATATCATTGCATACATGCTGGCTTATGTTTTGGTTTTATTCCAAAACTGCTTTAATGCTAGTTTTAGGTTTTAGAACTTAATGGCCTTGTATTTTATTGATTTTTCTCTATTTTGTGAAATATCTACAAAGATTCATCTTCTGTGAAATTTAGAAATGCAGTTAATAAATGAAGCTTTGAAACCATTTTATTTCCTTCTCATGTGACATCCATTTTTTAAACCTATTGCCTAAATTCAAAGATAAAAGCAGAGCTAGTAGATGTTCAGGATGCACTAACATCTTACCATATCACATAGTGGAAATTATTTCTCTAGAAACTATCTGAGAGATTGCTGCACCTAATATAGCAACATAAAGTAGCCCTAAGGAGATTATTATTCAGAATAAAAAGTGAATGATGGAATCCACAACACCATTATCATTTACCTCTCTGCTTGAAGTTTTGTTGTTTTGACAATCAAATCCTGAGTTTGCTCCTTAGTTGCCTGGAAGACATATGGATGATTAAAATGAGTTGCTATTAACGACTTAGTTTAACTTTTAAATATATATTACTTAACTATGGTAAGAATGAGTAGAAGGGCAATTTAAAGAGTCTAAAATTTCCTGTTTCCTCTCACTGACTGGGACACAGGGTGAGCCTTTTAAAAAATATATATGTATATATCAAACATATATTGCTTTCTTAACATGAAACAAGTTCAATGTTGCCAGGCTAAAGAGAGGATTATTCTGGAACAGACTCAGGTACATTATAGAGCTGCTTCAAAAAATGCATCAATATTTTGTTTCATGCAAATGTTTTAGCACCTGAACAATCTTTACAGTCCCATTAAAAAACACTGTGCAATGTGTTGTTTGAAAGTAACATTTCCAGAGGGGGGGAAATGTGCAATTTCCCCATCACCTGTACAATACCTTCAAGTGATTAGTCATATCCTGGCAGCAATTGCTCATTAATTGCACATCTTCACTGATGTTTTCAAGCTCCTGAAATTGCACAGAAATACACATTATAACATTACAAATATACATTATGACAGATGGCCTAAAATATTTATTTATTAAATGTATACACTGCCCTTTTTGCAAACTGAGGCAACTCTAGGCTGCTTACAACATAATAAAACATATTAAAAATTATAAATGTAAAAACAGATTACATCTGTTTTAAACATTAAAACATTTAAAACATTAAATACAGATTAAAAGACCACAGGTTTTGGACAGAACAGCAATGATGCTTCTTTGTCATTGCACCAACTGCCTACAGCTTCTTCATCAGAGCCTCATGCCCAAAAAAACTTAGGTTTAGAAAAAAAATAATTAATACATTTGTTCAAATCAATAAATAATAAAATTCGTTATTATTTCAGATTCAATTCAGTATTAATTTCAGTGAATCAATCATTTCTCTCACTAAATTCAATATTACTTCTGCCAGCAGAACTGAAAAGTTTCCCTTGCTATCTAAAGTCCTTGAAACTTGCTCCAGAAATTTGAGAACCTCTAGAACAAATGGGAGAAATTATAGGAGAAGAAAAAGAGATGGGTGTCCTGTTAAAGTAAAGAGAGCTCAAACATAATTACATTTTATATCTTTTTAATTTGATTATATGAATACATTTGTCAAATAATATACACATTGTTTTATTAAACTGTATTTTCTACTGATCTAATAAAAAAAACTTGAAGAAGGTGTTAAAGAATGCATAAGAAAAACAGTAGATTTATATAACAACCTGCAGCATAGCAGCTACCAGAGGAGGTTATCTTGAGAATGATTCTTTTCAGTAAGTTTCATGACACTTTTCTATACCTCTTTCACTTGTTTGAAAATGTAGACAAATTCTTCATTGATAGCTAAACTACGATGTTCAATATCCCCGCGCAGATTTCTTCTGGTACGCAAGCTGTTTTCCACAAAAAAGTCTGAAAGAGTCTTGAGCGCTTCTAACATTTCCTGCAAAAATATGCAATAAAGACAATGTTAACAATTCAGATATAAAAAAGTACCCTAAGGGGAACGTAGTTCTAGGTTTTCAGTCACCATATTTGTTCATGTTAAAAGTGCAAAATATTTGAAATAAATATAAAACACACACTTTATGACACATTTAATTACTTCTAAGCATAGACTAAACTACACAGTATAGTATAGTGTAGTATATGCTGTATATAAGGTATAGTATTAATAGTTTGGCTTTTTAACATATCTTAGGAGCATGTTGTGGGAATTATATTTGCCATGAGCAATTTTTTGCCACTTGAAACATGGCTCTAACCAGTCACAAACAAAAAAATTAGCTATGGCAGAAATTTATGGTAGGCCCTGAGGCAACATCTGCAGGCCTTCTGGTCCCCATGACCCCAGAGGAACTACAGGGGAATCTCTGCTGTAGAGAACAGCTTTAGTGCAGTTCAAAGGGCAGGAAAAAGCACTCATTCCTTTCTCCTTCAAAAGAAGCACTTAGAAGCACACAAAGTATGCACAGAGAATTGTCTGGAGGGCAGGAGGAGAAGCAATGGATGGAAATTAATCAAGAAGAGAAGCAGCCTAAAACTAAGGAGAAATTTCCTGACAGCTAGAACAATTAATCAGTGGAGCAACTTGCCTCCAGAGGTTGTGAATACTCCCAACACTGGAAATTTTAAAGAAGAGATTGGACAACCATTTGTTTGAAATGGTATAGGGTTTCCTGCCTAAGCAAAGGGTTGGACTAGAAGATGTCCAAGGTCCAACCTTCCAACTCTGTTCTTCTCTTATTGCGATACAAATATTAAAAAGCAGTTTCATAACTTAAAACCTGCTTTCTCACAGAGGTCCCCCTTGCTAACAAATCATATACATCACAAGATCTATGATTTCACAATGCAATTTGTACTCACACTTGTGAGTTATGATTAAATAATAGATCTGTTATCTGTTGCTATAAATACTGTGTGTATGCTCCACACCTAACTCTGGTAGCATAGCAGCATCACTAAATCTGTGAACATGAAATAGACCAGCAATTGAAAATATTTTTGTGACTGTGCATACTAATTGTGAAGATCCATGCCTCACAAAATACAGCCTTTTATACATCTTTTATGAAGCAGATTCAAGGCTGATAATGCCGCCTGTTTGTAGAGAGGTGAGTTTCTTTTGTAAAGTATCTGTATACATTTAAGAACACATAAAGATCTTCCTTCTTTATATTTTTGCACTAATCAGCAGATGTTGAAATAAACTTGAGGATGGTTTTTTGGGGTCAGCGTTAAGGGAAAAAAATCAATTATTCTATAATACATTTAATACGATGACTGTAAACAAAGAATGGAATTTTATAGCCTAAATGCATATTATGAGGATACGGTATTCATGTCTTAAATGCATGGTTTGGGCCCCACAGTAGTCCCAAGGAACTTTTTTCACTGTAATCTGTTGCCACAGTTATAAACTGTGGTTATAAATTATGAGTGTCTATGTTAACCCTCCCAATCCATAAAGCATGCCTTAAATCCATAATTTTGCCATTCAAAAAACATTGTGCTACGCATTTTATAACAACCATTAACATAAACTTTAATCTAATACAGCACCAAAGAATTTACATATAAAAACTTTAGGATGTGTTAAGAATTTGTGGCTTGGATTTGTCAAAATACCATCATAAAACAGACAATCCATTTTTGCTATACTGTATTGATATCACAGAGGATTTTAATTCATATCCATCAATCTGAACTATTCAACTATTTTTGGAGACCAATATGTAGCAGTGATTCTGTGATGTTCAATGTGATGCAAGTCACATGATGTGACAATTGAGGGCAACATTTCTATTACTATGCGACATTTGTTAAGTGAGGTTTGCCCCATTTTACGACCTTTCTTGCCACGGTTGTTAAGTGAATCATTGCAACTGTTAAGCTAATAGCATGGTTGTTAAGTGAATCTGGCTTTCTCAATGGCTTTGTTTGTCAGAGTATCACAAAACAGAATCACATGATCCTGAGACACCGCAACCATCATAAATATGAATCAGTTGCCAAGTAGCTGAATTTGGAGGATGTAACCATGGGGATGCTTGGTTTTAGTGTGAAAATGGTCATACATTTCTTTTTTAGTGCTGTTGTAGTTTCAAACAATCACTAAATGAACAGCTGTGAGTCAAGGACTACCTGTATAATAATCCTTCTTCCTCCTATTTTCCCACAACAACCCTGTGAAGAGGCCATGAAAGAGGCCAGTGGCTTTCATGGCTAAGACAGAAGTAGAATGCATAGTCTCCAAGTTTCTAGCCTGATTACCTCAACCACTAGACCCCATAACCACATTTGTTGAAATTTTATTGATCATTCTTTAGACTACAGCTGATGTGGCAGTTTACGTGAGGAAGTGAGATGGATATTTCTAGTTTGCAGGATGTTCTAAAACTTCTTTAAAAGTATGTCAAACCTTCTAGAGATATAACATATAGATTTAGCTTCTT